AACCACCCACAAAGACAAAGTAAACGACAGACAGAATCAGAAGGGATAACATACACCATCAATACAACCCTACTGCAGATGGGAAGGTAACAATGCCCAAAAACCAGTCTATATATTTTTTTTTTAAACAAAAAAACTTTCAACATTTTATGTACTAGTGCTTGTAACCTCCATATCACTGGCTTATCGAACATATATAACAATGTTAGGGAGAAGCAGCTATGGCATTGTGCCGCCTGCAATGATGCCTATTCTCCTTTACTTTTAGTAAAGAGTTTTACGGCACTTGCAGCACAATAAGGTCATAAAAGTGCCGAAGACGAGAGGTGTTACAAGAGAGCAACAAACACAAAAAAGAAGGAGAGATAAAAGACCATGGTTGTTTGATAGGAAAGAAGGAGCAAACCACACCACAGCACCCGCCAACCACCCACGTCTACTCTTCAACCAAACAAGTAAGTACATATATATAACAATCAAAAGCACTATTCCCGTGCTCAGTGAAATCGTCCAACCATGCAGACATACATGATCACGACGAGAACTAACCCTACGCTGAGCCATGCATTACCTCTGAAGAAAGAAGAGTCCAACAAACAAAGCCCAATGCACTTTCAAAGGCCACATGCAGAGGAATCAAACACCAACATCACAATAGCACATCAATATGTCCACCCATCCACAGAAGAAGAAGAAGCACAGCTGCATTGTGATTACAATCTTAACCCTTTGCCCTCTTTCACAAACCAGCATCTAAAATGTGTGACTCTCCCACAAGCCTGCTTCTAAAATGTGTGACTAACACACACACACACACATCAGAGTGACAAAGCTTTTCGCTTCAAGGTGCGACAGTTTTGGACAACAACAAGTCAACCACTTGGAAGTCAAGGCCAATAAACACAATGGCACATTCAAACACTCAAACGTGACGACCACTTCGACAAGTAACACACATCTTTGTGAACCAATACCCATGCACAAAAAGAAATAGGAATTAAATTATATTCATTTAACCCTATCAGTACGTCGTGTTTTACTATCGTATCCATATGGCGTGGGAAACTCTGAGCCGCCACTTTCCAAAGAGGAAATTTACTCATTAATCCGATCCGTGCGCTTTGCATAGCAGTCTGTCAAAATGATTTTTTGAGAAATACTGAAAGTTTCAAAGAGATCTTCGTACTACAAGTATTCTATAATGTGAAGAATACAACCCCGGAGGTACAAAATGACCCCAGGGCGTACAGAAAGGGTTAAGGAAGTTCAACTTCAACAAATTACATTACACTAGCATCATTCACCCACTACCATCTATGGGAAACAAGAGCAAAATTAAATCTGAGCTATACAGTGAAATATCCCCCAGAAACAATGAAGTTATAGCTTCTTCAGACAGCCAACTCAGTTTTTACCGTAAAACTTAAAAACCATTTAAACTGATCATTGACCAAAACCAAGCCATGCTGTGAACCATTGTGAAAGAAGCAAACTCATATTTCGTGTGCTCATATGACCTTATGCAGGTGCGAGCGTTGTGAAACTTTTACTAAACTAAAGTCAACTTAGTTTGAAAACTGCGCTTTCGAGAGTCAGGCATTCATGAGGGCATTTCTCTCCCCCAATCTCTGAACTTTTTCTCTCTTTTAACTTAACCCTCAGCATGATGATCAAAACCAGATTTGGAATGGAAAAAGGGGACAGAACAACAGCAAGACTGCGGATTACTTTCCATCAGATGCAAAAAGAAGTCTTAGCTTAACACTGCAACGACTGGCTATTTTCCAAGTCCATTTCTTTTTTTCATATATTATATATATATATATTTAAGTCGTGTCCTGAAACTTATTTAAGACAAAACTTTAAAATTATGCATTTGTCGAATACACTCACTGTATTTGAAGAGAACCACCATCAGAGCGTATTGGATTTAGAAGCAAAGAGTAAGGATGACAGAAACAAATATACTAAAAAAACAAACAAACAACATTGCAAGCAAACATTCGCACAGAATAAAGTCAAATAATTGGTGAAACTTTTCGCTACCACAAGGCGACGAAGTACTGGAATGAAGATGCTGACATGACAGAAAGTAAACGTGATGCACCAAAACCGGAAAGCACCTGCAATACCGTAACTACACCACCACACTTAACAGACAACTAAAGAGCAGGAAAAAACAAAACAAAACCAACCAACAAAACAATTCTTGCGGTTAACGCATGCTGTTGAGGGAAAAAAACACATCACAAACGCCATGGTCACTTTCCTTTAAAAACAAGATAAAAAGCATATGATTAACAAACAAAACAATATTTGAAAAAGCGGAAAACAGTTATTAGATCAAAAAAATCGCATACAAAATGAACATCATCACTCCATCCCTGGCAAGGTGGGCGGAGGAAGGAAATAGAGAGAGGGGGGG